CTACTACTGAAATGTTTCTTTCATGGAAGCTGGACAAAAGCGCTTAGAGACTTTTAAAACTGTAAATTGTATCCTTTACTCTCATTCAGAGGCTTCACATCCAGAACAAGGTTTGAAGATACAATGCCTTGAGGGTAAATCTCAACTATTTCCAAGCTGTTAAAAAAAAATGCTGCACTCTCCTGCATTTTGCAGAGAAATCAGACACCTCTCCAGTGCTCTCTACAAGGAGTTCTCAATAACAAAACTCACTGTTGCTGTAGTTGTTGTTCTGTTGTGACGTTTGTGCAGCATCAGAATCTAGTTCATTTCTAATAATATTGTGTATCTTTCCTCAATATATTCAATTTAGGTGGAAAATCCCAGTATGCCCAATGATGAAGGCATAACCCCTCTTCATAATGCTGTCTGCGCCGGACATCACCATATTGTCAAGTTCCTGCTGGACTTCGGAGTGAACGTGAACGCAGCTGACAGTGACGGATGGTCAGTACTGTAATATTAGAAAGGGGTTTGGGGTAATTAACACTCTGTCGCAGCGATGCTGAGGCAACACGACAGAGGTAATTGCATTTCTAAATTCATTTTAGAATTTAGAAACTCATGTTTAGTTAATATCAGGCTGTTTCATGATGACAGAGGTTTTGTGTGGCTTATTAGATTTGAGATAACTGTGCTGGAATGTTTGAAGTCATATTTTAATGTTGTGCCTTCCAGGACTCCTCTGCACTGTGCAGCTTCATGTAACAGCGTTCACCTCTGTAAGATGCTTGTGGAGTCTGGGGCGGCCATTTTCGCAACAACAATTAGCGATGTTGAAACAGCAGCAGACAAATGTGAAGAAATGGAGGAGGGCTACACACAGTGTTCTCAGTTTCTCTATGGTACGTCAATACTGAGGGACTCATGTTGAATCAATAAATGAAAACTCATCAGAATTTGTAAATCACTGAAAAAGAAGTTAAATTAAATTAAATAAATAAGTATTTTTTTTTCTTGTGTAAACATCCCATTGAACCTTCATTTGACACTTTTTAGTTGAAAGTGACATCACTTGAAACATAGTTTTCCAACACTGAGGGCCTACAGTGAATAAAACTGTGTATCTGTTACAGGTGTACAGGAGAAGTTGGGTGTCATGAACAAAGGCTTGGTCTATGCTCTCTGGGACTACACGGCCCAGCAGGCGGATGAGCTGTCCTTCAGCGAGGGCGACGGCCTCACTGTGCTTCGCCGGCGTGACGAGACTGAGACAGAGTGGTGGTGGGCGCGACTTAATGACCGGGAGGGATACATCCCCAGGAACCTGATGGGGGTGAGGGAACATAAAACATCCCAGCACACAACACGCTTCACTGTGAATGTGTGCACTCTTGTCTCTCTTGTCGTTGTCTGTTAGTTTCACTGGATCTGTCATCAAAACATCAGAAAAGCTTCTGAGCAGACTCTCATTGACTTCGATTAACAAGTTAAACTTGGGCTCAAGAATGAATGAACAGATTTTGTTGTTGATCTTTATTTTGGTTCATTTCCCTTGTCGTTCAGGATTAAACCAAATCCAAAATGCCATTTAATTGTATTACTGACATGTTAATCTTATTTATTGTAGGATAAGTATTCTGTGTTGTACACAGTACATTTAAGCCTCAGGGAAAAACTACACACTCAGCATAGCTTAACTAGACTTAACGTCTTGAATAAAACTCACCAACCATTCAGCTGCAGAAACACTTTATACCATGATGCCCCAATAAACTGAATGTTTGATCTGAATATTTACTGAAGGAAGTACGCGCACATTCGATTTCTGCTCAACAGGAAGTGTCACCAGTGCTCATCCTCATCCACAGAAAGTTAATTAAATAATATGATTTATCACAGGAAGCAGCCTGTTCAGTCTCTCTTCATGTTGTTCAAGCACCTTGTGAACAATGTTAACATGATGTAGTTAACATCTCTCTCTCTCTCTCCAGCTGTATCCAAGGATCAAACCCAGACAACGCTCGCTGGCATGAAGCCCAGATCAGGGGCCACGTGCACACTCACAGTGGGCACATGCATGCAGAGAAGAAGAGGAGCAGAAGCCGCATGAGGGCGGACATGTTACCCGAGTAAGAAGGACTTAAGGAAGGATGGGGATAGTCAAGAGGCTGAGAGAGGAAAGAAAGAAAGAAAGAGGAATATGGATGTTAAAGTTTTGCTGGATAGTATTTTTTTGGTATGTTTGGGTGTAACGCTGGAAAAACAGAGCCATGTTGTGGTAGAGTCATGATATATTTTACTGAGTTGCTGCAGAGTTAAGGAAATTGCTGGAATCGTATTTTTCGCAACAGTAGCTTGAAAACCTCCCTGGAATTCAGCCGCATGACAGAAGCTGGATGGAAAAGAAAATGACCCTAAACGTTCTTATCTTTTGGATGCAGCTTCAAAATCCACTTTAGTTCATTTCGCTCAAAACATGACACCATGAGACTGGAACTGTAAAGCTTCACCGGACATGTGTCAAGTATTCTTGATCTACGAATTGTACGTGTTCATTTAAAATAAGACACAATGAACATTTGGATCTTAAAGGAATACTCATCATCTGCATAGCAAATGGACGAGATATTTATCAATAGAAATGAACATGATGTCAGACAAATGTGTCACACTGTGAGGTGTGAAGATCTCAGAGGCAGTGAATTTACAAGTAGAATCAGGTGAAGTGTGTGTGAGATGTGACATGTGAAAGTGAGGATGGAGAGAGGCAAGTGAAAGAAAAGAACAGAGGAATGTGTATTAAAGCAAGTTTAGCCAGCACTGTGTGGCTGTTGATCAGTTGAGCAGTTATTAGCAATGTTTGTCCAAAAATTTGTTGAGGTGCACATCAGCCCACACAAGCAGCAGATTTTCACAATTGAATATTACAGCATGGTAAAAAAAAAAAGAAGATTTTTTGGTGTTGATTTTACAAACTGATGTAAAAAGCATCTGTGAACCATTACTGACTTCTCAAGCTTTCAGTATTTTGCATCTGTCTTCACCGCTGGTGCATGCTGACACATTAACATCTGCTCAACTGCAAAATGTTTTTCTTGCTGGAAAAACAGGAGAAAGGAAGGAAAAGAGAATGTGTAGAGAATGTGCTTGTGTAGCTGTGAAACCAAACTTTGTAAGAATAAACAGATTTAAAGGTGAGAGGCCAGCAAAATAATTAAATAGAGAAAAAAAATGCCTGCTAGCCTTCAAACATTTCCACATAAAATTGAATCCAGACTAGAGCCTTGTTCACACTGCTCCTCATCCTGGTAGAAAACTGATGCCAGGCTTTAAAACTCACACAAATCAGTCATTGACCAACAGCTCAGTGTTTAATGGTTCTATATTTGCCAGTCAAATGTTAAAATACCACATAAAAGGTTTTTTATTTTGACAACTTTGAACAAAGTTACACCAGAGGGTAGAAGGTTGAAAAAACATATATACAAAATCAACACTTTATCCCTGGCTTTTTGGTTTAGTATTGAAATGGGGCTACATTAGCTCAGATTGAATGAAGAACCTAAAGTTTGAAAACAACTTGACTTTTTCTCAAATGTTATTTCGTTTTATTTAGATTTTTTCACATTTAAATGTTTCAGTAGTTGTGTTATGTACTCAGCTTTTTGTTTTTTTGTCTTATTTCGAGCAAAACATTGTTTTCTATCATTATTATCATTGTTATTATTATTGGTACATATACTGCTGTTGTTTCTTTCTGTCAGAGCTGGCGCCTCTCACTGCTGCCACCCAGTGTACAGGAAGGTTGTTACACAAAATAAAGCATCATTTCCTTGAACACGTTGTGTAAAATATGAAGCGATAGATTTGAGTGCAGTCTGATGTGAGAAAGGTTCATTGTTGTGAGGAGTGTGTACCATTACCTTGTGTATATGCTAGCAATAACTCCACAGCTACTGTACAATAATAATAAAGAAATTATAATCCCTACAGAGAACCAAAGCTTTGACTGTGACTGATTTACTCAGAGTTCACATGTTTGTGGTGATTAGATTTTTATAAAGTAATAGAGAAGAGCTTCAAAAAATCTGGGTGGCATTTCAAACAGACTGATGAAATATATAAGATGATTTTCTTACTGTATGACCGGTTATATCATAAGTTAGATATACCATGTGTCATAGTTTAACAACATTAGTTATCCATTAGAGTTAACATCTCCAGCAGGAGTCTCTCTCTCACTTACACTGACACACACACACAGTCCTGGTAATAAACTGTGGACTTTAGAAGAGAATTAACCTATTCAAGTCCACACACACACAGCAGGGTCCTAACAGGTACGTGCATTCTGTTCTAATTCACAATGTGACTACTCTCTACTGTTGGTTTAGAGTTAAGTATTTCTCTCTCAGATTTAAAACATGCTGCTGAATCTGTTACAAACTCTTTTAAAATGCTGTCACGTCGCCGCATATAATAAATAATACCAGGAGAAATCTAGATTTCACAGTGAAAGCAGAGAATAGACCAGCACATGGGCTGAACAACAGTGCACACAGGTGTCAAGGTGTTTCTTCTTTTTATCTCTTGTAACTCCTGAGACAGACAGTGTAAAATAATACTCTGTTATAACTGAGGGAATGAAGACACAGAGTTTCATAACAGGTGAAAATGCACAACAGATTTCAGAGGGACATAAAACATTATTATTAGTAGTAATAGTACAATCATCATTATTATTATTATTGTTATATAGTTGTAATTATTTGTATTGGTATCATCATTATTGTAATTAAATATTTTAGTTATATATTTTTCAGTAGTAGTAAATCCTGCAAAAAATGTAAGTAAATTAAAATATTGATTTGGCCGGAAACTGAACCTAGGTGCAGCATTTGAGTGAATGTACTTAGTTAATTTGCACTAATGCAGTAATTTATTCCCACTGTCACAATTTATGGATCTGAGAAATCCTGTAGCGCGTTTATTTTGAAAGTACAAACCGGAAGTGAGAGTGTTTCGCTAGCTGCTACATGCTACATGCTACATGTATGAAGAATCACATGACTGTGGAACGATGCTCACAGTTTATCACCTGATGGTCCGAGGCTCGTCTTCTCCTCGTGTAAGTTATTATTTATCACGTCCTGATGAGTGACGTAGGTGACGGTGTGTGCGTCATGATATCTCACATGTGTTGTACGTCACTTTATGTCATCATCAGCCTACACTGGTTGTTGTGGGAGCAGCGTGTAGATTATCGTTTATACAAAGCTACTGACGACAACAACGAAGAGTTAGAGAATAAAATCAGATCTCAAATGTTACTGACGTTTAAAAACCCACTGAGATTGAGTTTGAAGGCAGCGTTTGCCTTGCAGGGTGCACATGATCATTCTAATAATAAACTTTATTTAAATAGATCTTTTCAACACGTAGTGCTTTACAAGCTCAAAAGAGACATGTAATGCAAACAATAGGAAATAATTCAAACCAATTTTAAGATCACAAATACAAAATTAAAACGTGTTACGGGTGAGAAGAAAGTAAAAATAAAACATTGAAAATAAATGTTGTTTAAGATCAGAACTAGGAGAACGCACACCGATAAAAATGTGTCTCTACCAGAGATTTAAAACAGAGAAGTCCCGGTCACCTCTGCTCCTCAGCCGGGACTGTGGACTGTCCGCTGGGGACCTCAGGCTATGACCAGGCATCTGAAATGTACTGAGGTGCAAGTCCAGAAGGGCCTGAAAAGTTTGCAATCAAATATTGAAGGCAGTGAAGTGAAACTGAAATCTAAAGTCTGGCTACTGCGTAACAAAGTGGAGTGTAAGGGACAACGTTGAGAACTGTAATGCCAATTTATATTCTATACGTTTATTGTAAAGATAAACTTCGTAAACAGACCAGGGTGGCTGCAGGTTTTACAAATACAAGCCCTTACATGTATTAAACTGTCTTACATTCAGATGGGATGTGTCTTCATTTTTTTAGGCATGTCACCTCCAAAGGTCAGAGAAAATGTCTCTACTCTGCTAGACTGAAAAAGAAGAATGATTATTGTGCTGCATTGATACTCTGTTTCTGGTTCAGCTAGTCTCATCAGCCCATGCTAGTTTGTTTATGAACATGGAAAAATGCAAGGTTAACGATAAGTAGCTTGAAAATGATCAGTTCTCGTTAAAGAAAGAACCTGTTTATGAAGCAAAACTGTGTGTTGACAATCTTTTAACTTGGGACAATGGAGATCAAGGCGTCGGAATCTAACAGACATCAATGGGTTTACATGGAACGAGAACATTGTCGCTTTTGTTTTGTGTTTCCATCACAAGTTTGATCATAAACTCGATTTCAAGTGGAAATCAAAAGGTCTTTGCTGCTGAAGCCCGGCAGCCTGACTATCATCCCACCTCCTGTCACAAGTCACATTGATTTTCAGCAATGGTCCAACATGCTGTTTGCCCTTCAGTGACTGCAGGTACAGCATGGCGGAGCCTTTCCACCTGAACACACCGCTGCTGGAGAGTGTCAGCATGTCCAGACGGGCGGGGACCGCTGTCTATTTAAAGATGGAGAACTCGCAGCCCTCTGGCTCCTTCAAGATCCGCGGCATCGGACACCTCTGTCAGCAGGTAGGAGCCCTGAACCCATGCTGGAGCTTATAAAAGCCTTTTCTTCCACGGATCCGTCATCATGAAAGGACAACACAGATGGGCTGTGGCAGAGAGTTAAACTAATTATACAATTATTTAATTAATTATATGTATTTATTGATTATAAATGTATAAAAACTGATTTCCCCTTGTTTCATATTGTTGCTCTCCTCTGCAGCTCGGCACACAGTCCAAAGGAGTTGTCTGTTCTTCAGGTGACACCTCTGCTCTTACACCTCACGTTGAAATGCACAATACACTACTAGCAAGAAACAAATTGGCCGATTTGACTACACTAAAACACCGTGGGCCTTTTTCTAGGTGGTAACGCAGGTATGGCCGCAGCCTACGTAGCAAGAAAAATGGGTGTACCAGCCACCATCGTGGTTCCCTCCTCTTCCCCTCAGACGGTCATTCAGAAACTACAGGATCAGGGGGCTGCAGTCCAGATCGTAGGGAAGGTAAAGTGTAATATCACATACATGTAAGTGATCTTTTTGTGGCACAGACGCTACATCACTTTCTTTCTTTTGTTTTTACTTTGGAAAACGTTTCAGCGTAGGTTTGGGATGACGCTAACGCAGAAGCGCTCCGACTGACAGAAACTGAAGGACTCACTTACGTTCCTCCGTTCGATCACCCCCTGCTTTGGTAGAAACACTCATCACAATGAAAGTGCACTGTTTGTGTAATGCACAGGCTAAACTTTAAATGACGTCTACTCAGATAACATGTGTACGCCTCTCTCTGTGCTCACCACCAGGCAGGGCCACGCCAGCGTGATCTCAGAGGTCGCAGCTTCTCTGGGCCCCAGTGTGAAGCCTGGAGCTGTGGTGCTGTCTGTGGGCGGAGGAGGGCTCCTGTGTGGAGTCGTCCAGGGCCTGAAGGACGTAGGCTGGACGGATGTACCGATCGTCGCCATGGAGACTGTGGGGGCGGACTGTTTCAATGCCGCTGTTAAGGCAGGGAGGAGGGTCACTTTGGATGACATCACCAGGTTAGAAGCTGAAAAAGTTCATTTGTTTTGTGCAGTGAAGTGATGAAATGCATCCTCACCCTTGTCTCTGGCTCCGCGTGTCCTCTCACAGCGAGGCCAAATGTCTCGGGGCAAAGACGGTGTGCGAGCAAGCCTTTAAATACAGCCAGTGCAGCGAGCTGAAGATCATCTCGGAGCTGGTGACAGACCAGCAGGCTCTGCACGCCGTGGAAACTTTCCTGAGTGAGTGTGTGTTTCAAACACCCAGAATGATTTGTGAACACATGAAATCTGTCCAGTATCCATACCACTCGTACTTTGATGGTCCTGGGGGCGGGCTGTAGCCAATCCCAGTTGACATTGGGCAAGAGGCCAGGTTAACCCTGGACAGTTCTCCAGCATATTGCAGGGCCGGTTTACCGAGACAAACAACCATTCACACTCACACCTACAATCAATTTAGAATCTCAAATCAACTTAATCCCCGTCATCGTACGTCTTTGGGAGGAAGCTGAAGTACCCAGGGAAAAACCCACACAGACGCTGAGAGAACAAACTCCACACAGAAAGATCCAGACTGAGAACCATACTGCTTTGTTTGTCGACACCAGCCTCCACTGTACCATCACTCCAGTTCTGCTTTTTATCAGTCTTAGGCCTTTGTAATGAAATTATCTTTGCTCTGCCTTTGTATTATGTGTGTGTGTGTGTGTGTTGACAGATGAGGAGCGTGTTCTGGTGGAGATGGCGTGTGGAGCAGCACTAGCAGCGGTCTACAGTGGACTCCTACACAGATTACAGGAGGAAGGTAACTGCTCTAAACTTATTTCGGATTATTATTCACAACTGTGCTTCTGCTCCTTGTCTTTGTTTCCTCCTGGTTCTTATGGGGATGAAAGAAATGGCCAAAATGGACGCTTGCAAGCTAGTACAGAGAGGTCAACTCAAGCTTTGCTGCTCTGATCATGACATGCCTCACTCTGCACAGTCCTCACCCTTCAAATTTTGGTTGTATATTTAAGCTCCCATCTCTCCCTTTGCTTGTCAAATCCTCTCCTGCATCGCGATCTCTTCCTGTCGACTCAGCCCGTCCACCACCCCAACATCCACCTGTAGGCTCTGACAGGGGGTTAAATATATATTTGCTCATCACTCCCCATTTTATCAATGTAATCTTATCTGGGGCAGTGATGAGGCCAGAGAGTCAACACCAAACTGTCACTATGTTCTGCTGCTACATGAGTTGTCTGACTGAAATGATCAAGATTTTCATACCAGTCAATAATATTGATAATTATCATGATAATACTCAAATCTGAGGTCTATCAATCATGTGTTAAACCTCCTCACAATGTGAAAAGTATTATATTGATATATTGAACTTTTGTTATTTGCTGTTTTTGAAAATTATAGTGAGTTATTATCGATATAGTTTTATTACTCAGCCCTGTTTTCTTATGATTGTGTTTGTGTTAGTTAATTGGTCTCTTGGTGTGTGTACATACTCTTATAACACATGCAGATGACAACAGAGGCTCATCCTTGGTTGTGACCTTCCTCTTTAGGTCGCCTGCCGACCCCCCTGGGCCCCCTTCTGGTGATTGTGTGTGGTGGCAGCAGCGTGGACATGGAGCAGCTGACCAACCTCAAAAACAAACTATGGACCTAAGCTACTGTACGTAACAGATAAAACATCATTGATTTGATTTAGATTATTATATGTAGATAGGTTTATGAAAGGATGGATGGAGTAAAGAATAACTCTGGGAAATTAGAATAAAAAAGAAGAAGAAGAAATTAATTGTTTAATTTAGAAGCAAAGGTCCTGTTTGTAATATTGGTGACTTTTTGTATAACACAAAAACTTTAACATTAACAGTGTCCGATCTAAGTTACAAAAAAATAGAAATCGTGATTGACAGCCAAATTCTGCACTTCTACACACTCACGTAATTGTATTCAAATGCAACTTATCGCCACAAGATGGCGCCATAGTCCACGCTTCAGAATTACACAGACCGTCCACAGTCTGAGTCAGATACAGAAAAGCTCAGTGGTTTCACAATTTTTTTTATAAGATATTTTTTGTTGATGTAATTCAATCATGAATTAATTCTACTTCGGTGCAGCTCTCACAGTGTCAGACATAATAAAACTGCTCTTATATTTCATATTAATTAACAAATATTTGTGCGTTTGAGTCTTTCTGTGGTCTATTTTCAAGGCAGTAATATAAAGTCATATACTATATTTTAAATAAAACTACCTATTGTTGTATCAGATTGTTGCCTTTTCACCTGCATCTAAATTTAAAAGCCTGGTCAAGCTGTGTTATGTGTAGGAAGCTACTGTATTACTATGGTAACAGCTCAGCTCCTCACTGTTCAGCCTGCATCAGGGGAGAGAGGAGGACTGCACAAGCTGTTAATGGTCATCAGGTTCAAAATGGAGCATGTGTTGCACAATTTATTATAAATGCAGAGTTTTTTGGTGTCTACGCACAAAAACCCATAATTACAAAGTGAAATGTTTTTTTTTTTAATGATTGCATATTAAAGGATCAGCACATCATAGACAACCAGAGACTTTTTGTAATGCTGAAAGTTCCCATTCTCGAGTGCCGTGCAGGTTTACTTGATGAAAAGTTTGAGTCCGATTGAGTTATGGTGGAGGAGAAAAGGCAAAAACCAATCAGGTGGAACAGGTCAAACTAATTTCATTCATTCTGATTGACCCATCAACTTTGGAGCACTGTTAGCTGGGCTGACAGCAGGGAGCAATTGGTTGCTACACACTGGAAGCCTCCCAACTCTCTTTCTGTGCTTGTGTTCTTGAAGTGTGCACACCTTGAGTACGGCTTGGATCTCGGGGATGGAGTGGTCAGGGTTCCTTCTGTCTTAAGGAGTTAAACTAGTGAACATATGCAAAACATTTGAATACAAAAAAACTGTCTTCTACCTTTTTACTAAAAGCATAATAACAGATAAATAACTGAGGGAACTATTCTCCTGTACTCTTCCTCTGTTCATCAGAATCAACCACAGCAAAACTGTGATGAATTCAGCTGGATCACCATAATAACTCACAAAGTCAGCAGGCAGGATTTCCATTTTCATGCTATGACTGTGAGATTAACACTCACTTAATGCACTCAATGGGAGGGATGATGGTATTCTAATGATCAGAATGTCAAATCAAATCTTTTTTCAGCCTCTGCATCACTTTTAGCAATTTTGAAGCAGGTTACACACAGATTATTCTTCTATCAGTCGCTCGCAGTTATTATATATGTGTTTTCTTATCACTTACAATGTGACTACATGATCCAAGGTCTAATACAATTAATCCTGAGCTGACAGTTGGTATTCCAGGCAGCGGCTCTGATCAGGCTACGATGAATGTAGGAAACATTAAAGACCTTGAAGTCTACGATCACATGTGCATTATATTCATCATGAATATATTTTACAGACATCAGTTAGCCACGGATGAGCTGCAGTCCTGTTTGACATTTACATTTCAGAAAGCATAACATCTAATCTGAGACGCTTGTTGCTATGAACCCTCCTTGTTCCCTGCAGTGACTAAAACGAATGTAAACACAGTGATATAAGTCTGGAGACTGCGGTTGTGAAACACATCTCCTTCATTTTAATGCGCTGGTTGAAAACACATGCTGCTGTGAAGAACCAATTTTCCCAGCAGCACCATAACAGCAGTGAGCTGATGAGGTTGAATCCCAGGAGCCACAGTCTGTGTTCACAGCACAAGGTCAAACATGAGCTGGGCATGACGTCATGGCCCTGCTCACCTCTCACTACCGCGACAGCATTATTGTGATATTAATGACATGTCTGTGTTGATGTATCCTGATTAAGACCTCGTTTAACATATCTACCTGTTCAGATGAATGTCACTCACCCACAGCTGTACGCCCCCTGCTGTTAAGTGTGGCTCATGCAGCATGCAGATAGAGCATCTAATGAAAGTGCCAGCTCCATTTCTATGACAACAGGAAGGAGCAGCTTTGATGAGCCCAGCAGAGGGCATTTAAACAGAGCTGCAGCTAAAAATAGAACAGAGAAACAAGGATGAATGGAGAGGAGACACAGAGGGAAACAGTGCATGTCTGTGTTTTGGAAGTTGTATCTGTAGACACATGCATTTATTTATTTGCATGTTATTGCATTCATCTATTGATTCACATTGTATATGAAAATTCAGTTCAATTCAATTCAATTTTATTTGCATAGCGCCAAATCATAGAAGGTCAGGACTTTAAAATCAAAATATAGAGAAACCCAACAGTTCCCACAATGAGCAGCACTTTGGCGACTGTGAAGAGAAAAACTCCCTCATTAACAGAGATAAACCTCTAGAACCAGACTCTATGTGGGCGGTCATCTGCCTCGACTGGTTGGGGTGAGGAGAGAAAAAGGGGGGAGGAGAGGAGAGATGGGTGGAAAAGAGGGGAGAGAAGAGAGTGTGATAGTGGGGAGGGGGAGAGAGAGAGAGGCGAGAGAGACCAGGGACACTTGAGTGCCATCAGGTATCAGATCTGACTAGTTAAAATGTAAACAACAGTGTAAAGACTATTAATTATTATTGATAACAGGCACAATTGATATCATAATTAATTACTCAGATATTGTAATTAATAATAGTAATAATGGTAAAAGTTGTTGTCTTGAGGTTCTGGGGTCAGAGATATCTGATATGAGAGAGAAAAAGAGAGAGAGAGACTATGGAAGGACAAAGTGTAATAGTCATTGACATGTATTAAATGTCTGTATTATGTGGGGGGGCAGAGAGACAGAGAGAAGTGGAGAAGTGCTCAGTGCATGATGGGAGTTCCCCCAGCAGTCTAGACCTATAGCAGCATAACTAAGTGATGGTTCAGGACCTGATCCAGAACTAACTATAGGCTTTATCAAAAAGGAACGTTTTTAGTTTAACTTTAAATGCAGAGATGGTGTCTGCCTCCTGAACCCAGAGTGGGAGCTGGTTCCACAGGAGAGGAGCCTGGTAGCTGAATGCTCTACCTCCTGTTCTACTCTTACAGACTCTTGGAACCACTAGAGAACCTGTGTTTTGGGAACGAAGTGATCTACTTGGATAATAAGGTGTTATCAGCTCTTTGATATATGAGGGGGCGTGATTGTTGAGGGCTTTATATGTGAGGAGCAGGATCTTGAATTCTATTCTGAATTTTACAGGGACCCAATGTAAAGAAGCTAAGACAGGAGTAATAGGATCTCTCCTTCTAGTTCCTGTCAGCACTCGTGCTGCAGCATTTGAGACATTTTAGAGGTTTTTTACAGTCTTCCCTCCTGCTCAAGTTGCCATTGTGCATGGAGGGGTCATTGTTGACGTTAACAAATTGAAATCTATCTGATAAATATGATTTAAACCAGTCTAGTGCAGTTCCTTTGATCCCTACATGTTCTAGTCTCTGTAACAAGATCTTATGATCTATGGTGTCAAATGCTGCACTAAGATCCAACAGGAAGAGTACAGAGACAAGTCCATCATCTGAGGCCTTAAAAAGGTCATTTGTGACTCACTAGTGCTGTTTCTGTGCTGTGATGGATTCTAAGTCCTGACTGAAATTTTTCCAACAAACCGTTACTATCTAAGTAACCACACAACTGGTTAGAAACAGCTTTTCCGAGGATTTTTGAAATGAAGGGCAGGTTTGATATGGGTCTATAATTAGCTGAAACCTCTGGATCAAGTGTGGGCTTTTCAAGCAGAGGTTTAATAACAGCTTCCTTAAAAGCCTGTGGTACGTGGCCTGTTAACAAAGACATATTAATCTGATTTAATATGGAACTGTCATAAAAAGTCCAGTTGGGACAGAGTCTAATTGACAAGTTGCTGGTTTACATGATGAAACTAATGAGGTCAGTTCAGGAAGGTCAATAGAAGAGAAGTGGTTCAAACATAAATCTGGTTCTATGGTTTCAGGACCAGGCAATGTTTCTATGTATGTGCTATTCATGGGGGGGAGGTGGTGGATTTTATCCCTGATGGTTATAATTTTATTTGTAAAGAAGCTCATGAAGTCATTGCTTCTTAGATCTAGAGGAATAGATGGGTCAGTGGAGGTGTGACTTTCTGTCAGCCTGGCTACAGTGCTGAAGAGGAACCTGGGGTTGTTCCTATTTTCTTCTATTAGTAATGAGTAATACGAGGTTTGGGCATTTCTAAGTGCTTTTTTGTAATTTATCAGGCTATCCTTCCTGTCTAGGTGAAAGTCATGCCTATTGGTGGAACGCCACTTCCTCTCTAGTTTCCGTGATGTCTGTTTTAAAACAAGTGTTTGAGAATTATGGAGCTGATCTCCTCTGATTTGCCTTCTTCTTTTTTAGCGGGGCGACAGCATCAAGGGATGTTTTTAACGGGCTGCTCTACTATTAACTAAGTTATCAACTAATGTGGGAGTAAAGTTTTGATAACTTTCGGAAAAGTCATGCTTTTATTTTGGTAATTTTCCTTTATAAGTAATGACTCAAAAGTCCAGTCATAGCACTACCACAAATGTCTTGACTAGTATGTTACTGTAATTTGCAATAATACATGAAGTTACTGGAAATGACGAATGGCATCATGCACTTTTCCCACAATTCCAGATTGCTGTGATCTTGAGTTTCACAGTAAACTCTGAGAAATCCGTGAGCGATTTGTGGTCTCTCCAACTTCAGAGAGTCAACCCTCCCCAGAGAGTCAACCCTCCCCAGGCACATCAGACATCAGAATAAGATAAAGTCACCATGCATTCAGTTTAACTCTTTTCCAAACACATAGGAAGACATACATATTTTATTGACTTTGGACATGTGTGACATTTTATTTGTTTTAATTCAATAATTCATAAACTTTTCCTTTTAAACTTAATATTTGAACTCAGATCAAGTTTTTCTCACAGTATAAATATGTTTTTTTTTATGATGACAGTGACAGGGATTGAAAAAACAGGGCACAGTTAGACAGAGAGTATACTTTGCTTTGCTCTCACAGAGTCATGAATGTTTGTGTTTGTTGAATGTGATTTAGCTGTTTATTGATTGAAAGATGTAATATCACAGCATTTCACAAAATGTTTTTTGAATTTCAAACAAAGTAAGGTTGGACTCCATAAGTATTTACTTCTTCCTACGTCTATTTAGACATGATTTATTCATGTTGAACATGTTGCTTAAGTTCACTTGTTTGCTGTGAACGTTAAAAATAAAAACCTATAACCCAACCTCAACACTGATGTAAATGTGATGGTAAGAGGTTGAGCATGCTGGGCCAAGGTTGTTTTTGAAGCCAGTATTATTAATCTGTTAGACGTGCTTTGATATTTTTTTATTTT